TCCAGAGGCTGCTTCACATCCGAAATTGTTTTATAAATTCAGAACTGCGGGCTGGGGATTTAGCTCAGCGGTTCCAGTGCCTGCCTCTCAAGCATGAGGACCCAGTTCGATCCCTGGTACCAAAAAAAAAAAAAAATTCAGAACTGCTTTATAAAGGCCACAAAGCTTTTAAAAAAGGGTTTGAATTGAAAACATTTCACCAGGCGAGATTTAAAATGATAGTGAACCCTATTCTCATTTCAATACCTTGCTACATTCTACTTAGAATGTAGAAAAACTGTTTAGAATAAGGCATAGTTTCTAGTCAAACTAAGTATAATTTAGAGACCTTTTAATGACTATCCCTCTCATATGTAAAAATTTATCAAACCTAGACTCATTTAAATTGCTTGGGTAGGGAACTATCTGGGGTAATGTACAGTAATTAGTGTTTAAGTTAGATTTCCTTTTCTTTTTTTGGCACAATGCTAGGGATTGAACTTAGGGTCTCACACATGCGGTGTCAGTGCTGTACCACTGAACTGTATCTCTAGCTCACCTCCCTCCTTTTTTTTTTTTTTTAATATAAAATGTGGTCTTGCTAAATTGCCCAGCCTAGCCTTGAACTTTTCTCACCTTCCTGAGTAGCTAGGATTATCAGTGTGTGTGACTATGCCCAGGTTAAGTTAGGTTTGTTCACCAGCTGTATCTCTTAGATTTTGTGCTTTAGTTCATAAACGAGAAAGAACAGAACAATGTTGATCATTTCATAATTAAATCACTTGGATCATTTCATACTTTTTTTGTTTTGTTTTAAAAAGACTAGGTCAGGTGTAGTGGCTAAGGCCTGTAATTCCAGCCCTCAGGAGGCTGAGACAGGAGGATCGCCACGAGTTTGAGGCCACCCTGAACTACATAGTGAGACCCTCTCTCAAAAAAAGACAAAAGTCTCACTGTGTATTTCAGGCCATCCTTGAGCTCATTTTGTGGCCCAGGCTGACTTTGAACTCATGGCCATCCTGCTTTGGCCTCTTGAGTGCTGGGATCACAGGTGTGCACCACCATGTGTGGCTATTTTTAGGTTCTTTGAAGTGTTTACACTAGAAAATAATTTTCTTAGGGAAATTGTGTTGTAAATGATAGTTTGGTTTCGAGTTCAAGGCTTTAAAAAAATCTCTTGGGCCAGGAGTTTAGCTTGGCAGTACCGCCACCTGCCTCAAAAGTGGGAATACCTGAGTTTGATCCCTGGTACCAACCCCCCCTCAAAAACAAATAAAACTCTCTTGAGTGCTTTTTGTTTTTAGCAGAATTGGGGACTTTTTACATTTTCTTGAGACAGTCACAATAAATTGCCCAAGTTTGAACTTTTGATGCTCATGCTTTAGCCTCCAATGTAGCTGAGATTATAGGCATGTGCCATTGTGCCTAGCTCATTCTGAGCTTCTAATATTTGTGCATTGTGGTAGTTTTGCAGTACCAAAAGGTTTATAGGTGGGATAATAAAGTGGACTAGAACAGGATTTCCTTGTTCATTATTCCCTAGATACTGACTGCCTGAATTCAGGAGTTCTTTTGGAATTCAAGACTGCTGCTGCAGTTGGGCAAGCATTACACTGAGCACCCCCTTTGTATCATTTGTGTTAATAGTACCCCTGGAGTTTTGTTCTTCCACAAACCTGTGTGTAATGGCCTGGTATATAAAAGAAAAAAATTGTCACGTAGTTATTTTAGTATTTTCACAAATACTAATTTGCTTGTTTGTTTGTTTGTTTATTGGTACTGGGGATCAAACTCAGGTCCTTGTGCTTGTGAGGCAGGTGGCGGAACCACTGAGCTAAATCCCTGGCCCAGTAATTTGATTTTTAGTTGGAATCTTCTCACTTTATAAATTCATTCTGGTTCAAATCCTGACTTGCTTTATAAATTTGGAGCCATTTTCCCCATCATCAAATGTTTCCTAGGGTTTGAGTTTAAAACATTTGTCTGGGTGAGATTTAAAAGGGAGGTAAACTCTTTCAGTTTTTTGTTTTTTGGTTTTTTTGAGACAGGGTATTGCTGTGTAGCTCAGGCTGTCCTTGAATTTACCATGTAGCCCAGGCTCACCTTGAATTTGTATCCTCCTGCCCCAGCCTCCTGAGTGCTGGGGTTATAGCTATGCGGGACCACACCTGGTTTTGTACAAAAAAATACATATATATATTTTAAGTATGAAATATATAATTGTAAAAAAAATATGGAACGCTTCACGAATTTGTGTGTCATCCTTGGGCAGGGGCCATGCTAATCTTCTCTGTATCATTCCAATTTTAGTGCTGCCTAAGTGAGCACTGTACAAAAATACTTTAAAAGGAACATAGAAGTAAAATTAAGAGTCTTAAGATTTCTAGGTGTTCAGAGTCTGACTCCTGTAAATCACTTTTTAACTTGTCATTATCATTTTAGAAGTCTTCTTCCTCTTTTCCCCACCAATATATTAGTCATTTGAAGCATTATGTATCAGTCCTTAAGAAATACTCTGCTATTTTCTTATCAACTTAAAATTCTGTCATTTGTTGCTTGTGAAGATCTTAAAGCAGTTTAAACAGTTTAGGTTTTAACTCTTTCATTCATATATTTATTGTTGTTATTATTTTTGGTATGGGGATCAAACTTGGGACTGGCCTTCTTCCATTTATTCTTTCTGAATGGACGGTGCCTTTTGCTCAGGCTGGCCTCCAGCTCTAGGGCTCAAATGATTGTCTTGCTTCAACCTCTTGAGTAGTTAGGACTATAGGTGTGAACAGTTTTGTTACTGATTGATTGAGATAGTGTTTAGCTATGTAGCTGGGCTAGTGGCCTCAGCCTCCTGGGTGCTGAGGTTATGGGCATGTGCCATCAAGCCTGGCAAACCTGGCAGTTTGCTAACCCCCTTAAATACTCCAGGGCTGCTGTGTGTGCTGTGGATGCAGTGTCTTGTATGACTAACAGACCATAACTTCATTAGCTTGTGTTTTTCTTCTTTCCTTCATATTTGTAAAACCCTTGAAATTATTTCTCCAGTGATGAATTGTTACTTCTGTAATATCCCACTGCAGTTTTGCTTCCTTTTTATTATATAATGAGTTTTCAGTGCAGAATCATATTGTAATCATTTTGAAGATATTTTAAGCAGCAGTCTGCCTCTTTGCAAACAGTGAACAGTTACCACCCAGCCAGTGGCAGTTGTAATGTGGCATCTATTTAAGGTGCATTCTAATTTCAGAAAAGTTAAAATATAAAAGATATGTCTTATGTTTTTAATCATCGGTTGCTTTAAGTTGAGAAGGATGCTAAGTTTATCTCAGGTTGAGTCTGAGGTATACCCCTTTCTGGCCAGGGATTAGGGGATCAGAGCATGGGAGTCTCCTGGAATCTAGGCAACATAAGACCTTCCATAATACCTTCCAGAAGGAGGGCAGATAAATGAATGGCTGATTATGGAGGTTCATACTTTTATTTTGTTGTTTCTAAGTTGTAGACATTTTTTATTTTTTTCAATGATTTAAATAGGCAGTAATTAGGGTAATGTGATGTGTCTTAGAGCTTTTTTTTTAGTAATTTTATTTCCTTTGTAAATGTAAATATTCAAAATTATTTTAAACATAAAAACTACAACTATAAAACTTCCAGAATAAATATGAGGAAGGAAGAGAGCTCCACAACATTGGTATTAGTAATAATTTCTGGATTGACACCAAAAGTGCAAGGAACAAAAGCAAAATAAACATCAGGAATATTTAAATGTTTCTTGAAGTGTAAAGGAAACAATTAACTAAATGAAAATGTAGCCCATAGAATAAGAGAAAAAATATATACATATATATTATATAAAGAATAACCCCATACAATGATAAGCAGTTAATATTCAAGGTATATGTGAAACTCATAAACTCCCTCAACAAAAAATAAATTATCTGATGAAAATATGAGCAAAAGATTTGTGAGCTATTACAGTTTATTCACACCAGAGAAACTATTCAGTATTTACACATGTGTGACTTATTTATTTCACTTAGGAGTAACTTAATATAACTTTTAAAGTAGTTTCCTTTTTTAAGTTCTAATTTATTTTTTTCTAATTGGGTCCTAACTGCCCACATTGGTCCTGAACTTTCAGTCCTCTCTCTCAGCCTCCCAAGGAGCTGTGATTATAGGAATGAGCCACTGCACCTGGCTTATAGATGTTTTTGAAATGCCATTTATGAAATTCAGTTTAGCTTATAATTTTAGCTTGATGAACCATGATAGTTTTTGTCTGTTTTATTTATTTGTGGTACATCTCTAGCCTTATTTTGGGGACAGGGTCTAGCTAAGTTGCCCAGGAGGGACTGAAATTTTGTGATCTTTCTGCCTCAGTTTCTCAAGTGCTGAAAATTTGTTTTTTGAGACAGGCTCTCGTAGCCCAGGCTGGTGTCAAACTCCTGCCTCAGCCTCCCAAGTGCTGGCATTACCAAATATTAAGTTTAAAGGCATGTCCTACCATGCCTGCTTTCCAAAATAATTTTTTGAAGCCTTGCTGAAGTGTAAAGTGCTAAGCTGAAAGCAGGAAGAGGTGTGGCAGAAGCTGTGGGGTAGGTGAAAGAGAGTCCTTATTTTAAGAATCTTTGTTGTTTCTTCTGGTGATTAGGAAGCCATTACAAAAGAGTAATAAAAAAGTGAATGTAAATGTATTATGCTTTATCTACTTCCTATTGCTCTAAGTGTAAAGGAGAAAATACTTAATTTGGTCCCAGTTCCCTGTCTACCTTCTACCTGTCTTACTAGTTTCATACTGTGCCTTGCTCCCTTTGCTTAAACAAGGAGGAAATGAATTGGAAGAGGGTGGATGTATTCATGTTGTTTTGCCTACTACATTGTTTTAAATAGGAAGTAAAAATCATACTTTTGAATCTAGGTAACAGAAACATAAGCAAAGCACACTCTATAGTCTATAGCTGTGCTTTCTGGAATGAAATTCTCTACTTAATCTTGACTAATTGTATGGAGCTATTTTTCTCTAACAGGTTTCTCCCCATACAAAAAAATCTTGTGAAATACGGAGAAAAATGGCAGCAGAAACACAGACACTGAACTTTGGGCCTGAATGGTGAGTTTTCAGAGTCTCATCTTGTTTGATTTCAGATAATCAATGTAGTAGGAAGGTCTTTGTACAGGTGCTGGGTGATCTATAAATGCATGGTTTTGAGGCTCGCTTCATCTAACTAGTTGAAGCCAGTGTGGCTAGTCCAGTAATAAATTCTGTTTGGTAAATAACTACATTTTTTTGTACTTCCTTGTAATTTTTTTCTTGGTCTGATTGTGTAAATGGTAATAGAAATTAAAACCTCACATAGTCTCATCATGTTAGAAAATTGTTTTGTTTGAACTCTTTAGGTACATGTGCAATTTTGTATAAATTTAATTGTGACATTTTAATGTCTATGTTTTCTCCTACAATGTTGTTTTGTGATTATTATTCATAGACTCATTTGAAAAAATAGAAATATTATTATGGAAATATTACTTAATTTTATTGATGGGCCAGGCAGGTGGTCCAGAGTTAATACTGGCTATTAGCAGTGAAGAGCCCATCTTAGGGTTGAGTTAGCATTTGCCATAATAACAATTAATTGACCTTTGAGTCTCTTACAGATGTGTTTGGAACCCGAATATGGAATTCTTATGGAATTTTGAGATCCATCACATTGTAGTGTGACTTTCCCCCCCTCTTCTTCCTTTTCCCCAAAAGTTGATGATTGAAGATCCTCTCTTCAGTGGCGTGAATAATGATAGTTACTTTTTACATTCATTCCTCGAACAACCTCTTTGGTAATGTCAGAGGTAGTACCTAAAATAGCTAAACTGAATTAGTGTCTTTAACATTCTTGATTATTCACTTGGTGATAGTTTGGTAAGACTTCCTGTAATAGATCCTTGTTTGAGGACTCTTATTAGCTTACCCTATTATATATACCTTTTTATATATAATTCCGTTCTTAACCTTTATTGCTAACTTTTGGAGACTGAGGAGAAATCACTTTGCAGATCTGAGAACTGATGCAACCTCTATATTGTTTTGAAAATGTTAACCTCAATAATGCAACACCTGTTTTAGTTATTTTATATTTAAAAGTATTTTTCCTATTACCAACTCAGTATGTTTCTAGAAAAATTAGAAGTTATGACTAAGTCAAAAGAAGATACAGTTGCCTCCATTTTAATTGCTACTATTTTACCAACCACTGTAACTATCTTGGTGTATCTTTCCAAGTGGTTTTATGTACCTTATTTGTGTATATGTACATGTATCTTAACAAAAAATGAGATCATACTGTACATTCAATTTTGTAATCTTTTAAAACTAACTCAGAAACAACTTTTTATCAATAAACGTTTCCTGTCCTACTAATAGTTCATTGTATGGATGTACCATCATTTGTTTAGATGTAGCAGTTTCATTATTGAGTTTTTCATTATAAAAATATTTTTAGTGAAATTCTTACAGCTAAATCTTTATTCATGCCTATTAACTTCCTTTACTAAGTGAATTTAAATTCATATAGTTCACTTTGTAAACCATTTTATGTGTGCTTTTTTTTACCATTTTCTAGAATTTGAAATTGCATCTCTTTTGTTTATGCTGCCATGTCTTTTTCTTTGTGAAAACCTGACTAAAATTGCTTGGTAATGTAATGAAGTCTTTTTTAAGCATCCTGATTTCAATAGGTAACAAAAAATAACACCAGAAATTTAGCTGAAGCAAAAGAAAGAAAAACTGTTATTCTACAGTTTACATTTAGCTTGATGCTTACATCCTGGGTTTACAAATTTGTGGCTTGTGGGATTATAAATAAGGTTTTATTGGAAGATGGCCACACCCATTTGTTTCCATAGTATTTGACTATTTATTTATTTGTTTATTTATTTTTGGTGGTGCTGGGGGCTGAACTCAGGACTTTGACACTGAAGCTATATCCCTACTCCTTTTACATTTTTAAAATTTTGAGACAGTGTCTTACTAATTTGCCCAGGCTAAGCTTGAACTTGTGATACTCCAGCCTCTGCTTGTTGTGCACCACCAGGCCAGCACTGTCTGATTGCTTTTATGGTATTCCCACAGGGTTCAGTAGTTACATCAGAGGCTGTCTGGTTTGCAGAGCTTAAATATTTCTTCCATGGCTCTTTGCAGAAAATGTTTGCTGGCCCCTGCTTTACACCATTCATTTTAAATAATCATCTCAGTCTGTCAGTAGCATCTTGCACATTTTCGTTTTCATTGGTACTCTGAAATTTTGTTTGATGGTGTTTTGTTAGATTGGCCTAGTATTTTAGGCAGAATGTGAATTGAGGTAGCGTTAGCAGAGAGTGTAGTCACCAGTCCTATTCTTAAACAGTAGCTGCACCTAATTGTTAACTCCATTACTCTGCAAACATTAGCGCTTAGGTGCATTCCTGAGTCACCTGAAATGCTGATAAATGGAGCAGTAAAGGTCTGAACAAGCAGGCACTGTCTTACTTGTACCATCTATCAAAATTCCTTTTGGCAAAGGAAGTATATGAGGCCCCAAACAAATAACCCTTAGCTTGAAAGCTGCAGTATGAATAGAGACTGTTGTTCTGTTTTTCTGCATGTAACATGGTTGCTATGATGAGTGGTGTCCGGAGCACTTGAGAGTCACGGATTTTGAGAATGATCACATTGAATCAGTGTGTAATTTCAAACCCTATAGAAATATTTAGTAATGTTCTCTGTGAAGATCATTATTTTTGTAAAAATAATGTAAAATGTAATGTTTAATAAGAAATGCATAAAATGAAGAGATTTATTGGAATTTGGGGGCAGTTGTGAAGATGGGAAAGCATTGAAAATTGTGGAGATGGATTACACCTGTAGGCGTACTTTTAAACGTGCACAAAATCATTAGGTCATAGGTTGTATTTAGAATAGAGAAATTATTACTGAATCAAAACAGTTATGAAAGATACAATAAATTTAATGAAAATGATTTCTAAGTATGAGTCACCTTTATATAGCCTTTTCTTAAGTGCTGCCTTAGACTTTTCCTTCTATACAGCTTGTCCCCTCTCCCACTTCCTGCCCATCTCCCTAACTCTTTCATGGTCAAAATAAAAATGTAACATGCCAAACATTTTACATATATACTATTTATATCCAATCCTCTAACCCTCACTAGACTGTGAGCTCCACTGAGGGCAAGAATTTGGTCTGGTCTGGTTTTTTGTATAGCTGTTCATTGTTGTATCTCACATGCCTAGCACATAGGCTGTCAATAAATGTTAAATGAATGAGTAAATTGTTGGAAAGTAACATTGTTTTCCATGTTTTACTATTGTAAATGAATCACGTGTATATATATGTATGTATGTTCACTAGACTGTGAGCTCCACTGAGGGCAAGAATTTGGTCTGGTCTGGTTTTTTGTATAGCTGTTCATTGTTGTATCTCACATGCCTAGCACATAGGCTGTCAATAAATGTTAAATGAATGAGTAAATTGTTGGAAAGTAACATTGTTTTCCATGTTTTACTATTGTAAATGAATCACGTGTATATATATGTATGTATGTGTGTATATATATGTAAGACAGAAAATGCTCACAGATGAAATCAAGCCACAGGGAAATATATAAAAAATATTCATATATTGCAAACATTGACTAGCTACCTCAGTTCAACATACAAGCACACATTACAAACCAATAAAACCTTCATTTTTATTGTTTTTGGGTGATACATGAGCAGATTGACCACCAGAAGCTTTATAAAAATTTATTACCAGTGTGTCTATCTTACCCTTGACAAAACACAGGTACAATCTTGATGAAAAATTTTTTGATGCTAAATCCTTTTCATTTAGATCTTTTGGAATTTTTGGTTACAATAACAAAACAAACATTCTAGAAAATCTGGAGGAAACAACAGGAAAGAAGAGAAAAAGAAAAGCTCTAAATTACCCTAATACTATGACCTAAAGAGCCTTTGGTGGCTGGGGATGTAGCTTAATGGCACTGTGCCTGCCTGGCAAGTGCAAGGTCCTGAGTTTGATCCCTGGTACTGGGAAAAAAACCAAAAAAAACTTTGGTAATATTGGTTTGTATCCTGGTTTTTTTCTTTGCAAATATGTAGTCTAAGACATTTTAAAAACAAAATTTAGTTGTTTATTTGGGGACTTAATATTTTGAGGCTGAAAAATCTACTAGATGAGTTTTTAATAGGGAGAATAATTGGAGACAGAAGAAACAAAACTTTTTTTGAGTTTCCTGTTTCCATGGGTTTAAGGAAGACTTCTAGCTGGGTGTCAGGGTGCATGCTTGTAATCCCAATGTGGAGGCTAAGGAGGTTTACAAATTTGTGCTCAGCTTAGGCAACTTAATGACCTAGTGAGACCAAGTCTCAAAAAAGGGCTGGGCTATAACTCATTGTAAAGGCCTTGGATTTAATTCCCAATTACCTGCCCCTCCACTCTTCTAAGATCTTCCCATACAAAAAAGAGAGGTATTTCTCTTTCCCCAGAGCACTTTGTTTATATTTCTGTTAAAATAGTTACCATTTTGTGGTTGGTCTCTTTTACATTGTGTTTACCTTAGGAACACAGTAATTCATTAAGAATGATACACTATTATTTTTATTAAGTCCATTATCTTGTGCACCAGAGGCATTGCAAGTGTTTTAAAAATTTCTTTAAAAATTTTTTTGTTTGGTTTTTTGAAACAAGGTATGTAGTTCAGTCTGGTTTTGAACTCACTATGTAGGCTAGGCTGGCCTCAGACTCATGGTGATCTTCAGCTCCTAAATACTGGAATTATAGGAGAGTACCATCACTTCTAGCCCAAGAGTATATTTTAGAAAATAATACTAAGATGTTCAGAAAACGTTTTATCAAATGTCTGCTGCTGTATTCTGTATCTGTCTAGGTCTCAATTTCTCTCCCCCTTACCAATCTAATTTAACTCTGCTTTTCTTCCCTCTAAAAGTTTAGCAAAAAATATTCATGATGGCAGAAAGGGTGTGGTTAAAAACAAGGAGGCAAGAAATTGCTGATTCAAGAGAAAAGCCCCAGATGTTTGCCTTAACTATAACATGAAG